AGTGGTGCAGCGCAGTCACCAACGCGGGTCCACCGTGTTTCAATACTTCAGGCGGGATCCCGTCGGCCCCAGCACACTTGCCGTTTCGCAGCTGAGCAAGTGCTCTCTGCGTCTTATCCAGTGTCGGCGTAGATCAAGTCGATCTACAACCCCAGACGCTGCCTCCTCATCTAATGATTGCAATGTGATCTAATGTGACCACGTTTGCATCGGTGTAGGAGGACGCCAGGTGAGTGCGCATCTTCTGGTATGCGTAAAGTTCGTACTTGAGAGAAACAGACGGTGGTATATCATCGTTGTCAGAACAGATCTCATCAAGCGCGTGACTGCTACCAAGATGACGACCTACTCGTGCATTGAGATGACAACTGACTTTTCGACCCTGTTCAAAAATTGTGTAGATCACGAGAAAAGTCAGCCTTGATCGACGCACAGCTGCAGTCGGTTGCAGCGTAGGCAGAAACGACAAACAAATTGCGCCTCTCTCCACGATGTCTGTTAATTCTACCTGAGCCTTGAAACCGAACCGCACACAGCACTCGAGCAATGCAGCCTCCGGTTTGTCACTCAATGCGATACGGCACCAGCTAAGCCGGCTGCTGCTGCCTCCATGTCACTAGAAAGAAGTAGATAATATGTGGTCTCAAGAGCACCTAGGGACGACAACTTAACAACGGTGCTGGGATCCTGCAACCGAGTCTCTAAAAGGCAACAAACATCGATGGCGAGGGACTTTAGAGTCCGCGCCAAGCCAGCCTAATGCCCATTGCCACTGGAAGTAGATTCAACACGTTGAAGATTGTCAACAAGAGAAAAGTTGGTGTGTGATGGAGAAGCACAAGTAGCAGCGAAAGTAGCAGCAGAAGTAAGCCACGTAGCAGTAATTTCGAAATCCATGGTTTTCACAGAGGGCACGATACTACCTAGTTGCCCAAGTCGAAGTAGGGAGTTATCTTAGGGGTCTCTACCCCGAGCCTTTGGATCAATAGCCTACACGCAAGGCAGCGGAGCGAAGTCAGGGATTCGCACCCATTTGGAGCCAATGAATGATTGCTCAGTTCATGTGACTTTGGTTCGGTGAGTAGCCAAACACGGGCCCAATGCTCCCTACGATTTGAGCAGCAAGGTGCTGGGATACAATGCTTCATCAAGGTGAAACGAGAAGCAGTGACTTTATTTAGTGGCGAGTCACATCTGCCACGCCAGTGTTGTTAAACGGACATTTTATTCCTTCAAAGAACGCCAGGGATTACATTTCTGACGAAACTGTCTGCCAGTTATCAGGAAGTTTCGGTAAGCGTCCTTCCTTGGTTAACATTCGCTAGCAATGCATCAAGCTATCCAAACAAGATGAGGGAGATTTTATCACAATGCTGGTAGAGACAGTCTTAAAGGTGAACAGTTCGAGTTGCCGGTCCGAGGTCTTAGGGATTACAAGCCTACCTAGTAATCCCGAGATCGCTGGTTCGAGCTTGCGTAGGTGACCAGGCGACCATCGAAGTAACCTTAGCCCTCGCGCGACTGGTGGTGGTTGCGCGGCAGCGAAGCGTTGGGACTACGTACCGGCATATTGCTGATGACTATGCCTTTCTTGTCTACCACGACAAAAAATCAATTCAATTACCTGATTTCCATTCGAGACCTCCAATCACAGTCCGACAGTGATAACAGGACCAGGTTCTTGAGCAAGGGGGAACCGTCCCTGATATCACACTACCACAAATAAACCATGAGTGTCAGAGTCTGCTAAACCTCAAGCACCATACAACCATGCTGAAGCATCCATCATCTAACTCCAGTTCCAATTTCACGAAGACGTGGTCCAGACAACCCCCGGGGACAGCAGCCATTGTCGTAGTGAAACCACCATCCACATCCACATCCATCATACGACATGCTGGTAGTGTGGCGCATGTTAATTCACAAGGTTCTGCCCCTATACTAAGCACAGATGGTTAGTGTGTAACCGATGCGGCCACCAAGAAAGTCAATGTTGAACAAAGAAAGTGTCAGGACGCATAGACAAGCAATGACACAGATCGAATCCGAATTTAATGCTTAAAAAAAGTTAACACTGCGGTTGCAACAATTGATCCAAGGTTTAAGCGCCATCGCAAGTACCCAACTGCAAGAATAAACAGAAAGGTGGTTCCTTTGTTACTTGATACCGCATCCGATATAACACACGTATTCAAAAGTACCTAGAAGAAACTGGGATCACCAACCTATTGTCAAACCAATAGTACGACCAGAAATACATCCAGTAGCAGAATCCCATTGCTTGGTGAATTAGACTGTGAGCTGGAAATTTAAAATAAACGAGATCACGGTAGGGTCTACATTGTTGATTGTGAGCTCAAGCTTCTTGGTATTTACTGGATTGATGGTTTTGTACTAACCGATATACCAACACCAACACAGATCCTGAGTGTCGAATCTGCCTGAGACAAATGGAGACCTTACTGTCCTACTGCGACAGGAGGAAACGATAGTGAATGTACTGAATACACCTGAATTAACTGCAGAATTCCTGCAAATCCGCGAGGTCCAAACGGTTGCCTCACCCCGCCAAAGCTGTGATAAATGGGCAATTACGTCTGGCACATGACGTTATCCGACCAGTTTCAGGAGAGCAGTCGGTGGTCACCCGAGAAAAACGGACAATGCGACCAGAAGATCGTGCGCTAGCCAGGAACTATCGCAGTTGCCAGCAAAGGTGGGTCATCGGTATCATTGAAAGGCGTATTAGGTGTGTTCTGTACGACGTCTAGGTGGATCCATTGTTGTGGAGGCGCCACGTTAACCAATTCAGAAGAAAGCTTTGCCGCGGTCAAAAGAGTAGTAATGGAGCTCTTAATATTGATGTTATATTAAAGACGTTCGAAATGGAAAAGCCCATTGAGGTCGGGACGGCTCGTAACCTAGTGATCACGACAGACATCACACTAAGAGCCAGACGCAAATCCAGCAGTACACGGAAGCCGGTGACTCTATTTCAGGTTGACCCAAGACGCAAATTGTACACCGAACAAACTAAGGATGTTAGGAAGGTGCGGTTTCTATAGTGCAGATCAACAAAGCTCACGAACGGTAGCCAATCAATCATCTGACTCAAAAGTCAGAACAAGCCGAGGCCGACGTTAAAACCAGCTAATGCCTAATGCTCAGACTGAAAAAGACCGGAAAAACATCGAGCAACAGACTAGTTTTGATCTGAGATAAAGGTCCGTGATCAATCAATAGATAACTAGAACGACTGTTTCAGTGAAATTCAACTCACATTTTCGGTGCCTAAAAGACACACCTTGCCGCGTACACGCCTCATTTGTTCTTTCCTTACTCTGGGTTTTGGCCCACCCTAGCAGTCCGGCACAAAAGCAACTGGTTCGAGATAACTGATGAATGCTGTGAAAGTGAATTAGAGAACAAACAAAAGGTACACGAGCAAACAGAGGTGGCTTATGGCGTATGAGTGCTTGGTTAATTAATGACTGTCTCGATTGGAAATTGTAATAGGTAATTAATGAGTAACAAGTATGCACCCCTAGCGTCAGAAACAGCCAGCGGTGTGCATGTTCCCCATCAAGCGATCTGAGACTTTAAGACGGAAACTGGTATTCTCCTAATGTCAAGACGCTCAAGGAAAAGACTAAACGACATCTGTCAAACCAATTATGAAAGTAAGAGGAATGATTAGAATAATTTCGTTCTATCCCAACTGCTAGCCAGTGACATGATAAGTTCCGAGAATATTTTGTAAGTCATTCGATAAAGGCCAGTGGACGGTAGGCACACGCAAAACAGTATTCCATGCTAAGGCAAAGTTTAGTAGTGATGATTCCTTGAGTATTTCGGATGCCCATTTCTCATAATGTCATATGGTCATAATCGAAAAGCGAATTAACCAAGACGGGAGAGGACGCAACCGAAAGCTTAAATGCTTTAAGCAAACATCCGGAGTCAACGTAGCTTTATCAATGCAACAACACACGGCCAGAAACCGCTGCATACAGTGGGAAAATAAGGATGCATCGATGAGACAGCTATCACTTCGCAGCGTCATAAGCATCTTAACCCAACAGATACTTCAATATTAGACACAGGTAGTACCAGCACAAATGCAGCATTTATGCCGATCGCGGGCTATTCTGTAAGTTGACCGACCAATCACAGAGTGGGCCACGTGAACTCCAATCTGCGGCAAAGTGAGACGGACAAACAGCCCTCAAGCTAGTGGTCAGAGATTTCTACTCCCACCATTGAGTACACAACTGGTCTGCCTAAATTATTTCTAATTAGGTGAGGGAAACAAGATCGGCCCTGACAAGTGAAGGGAGCGAGGGGATTAGGTTCTTCGAACTAAAGCTGACACGGCTTACTATGTCCGAGTTATTGATCCAGCGAACTTGCAGAGAACTATCGCCTAGTAATCGTCGGCGCACCTCACCTTCCAAGTCAAGTTGGTGTACTCTAAATTCAGCAAGGTCGAAGCAACAGTCAAAGGAATGAGTGCGCTTAATATTTTCGGAACCAAGCACCAAGTTTCCCTACTGTAGAAAGGAACGGATATCAGCACGGTCCTATATACATGAGCTAACCGACCATGGTGAATATCCTTCCGGTGCCAAGGATGTCGTAGAGCATTGGAGATAATTCTGGCTCTCGCAATACAGACTAATCGAATCAGCCACGTGGTCGAGTGCATCTGGTTTCTAGTTGTCAAGTATCAAAGCGCTAGCAGGCAGCTGGTTTTGCGAAAAACGCTTTGCACGCCGAGTGTCATTCGTGTCGTCTGGCTATTGTCGGACAAGACAAAAACGTGCACGTACTAAAGAGTAAGTAGGTTTCTCAGGATACTAGCTTGACGCCTGCACTGTTAATTCCGTAAAGGAAAGCCTCAAGATAGAATTTACGACAAAATTTGATGAAAATTGAAAATTGAGACAACCTCAACGAACACCACTCTTTGGTTGTGTATCAGTTCGATAATCCGCATAGGAGCCTGACTTGACCTAAGGTGTTTGAGTACAGCGCATGTAGAATGTTAACATGCTTCATAAAAACACTCTTCCGGAAATGTTTACAGCACAGAACGACGCGAGCGGCTGCGTTAAAAGCATGCTTGAAGTCGAGAAACGTAGTTATAATAAGTATGCGGTAACTGTGACAATGCTACAACACCTACTGTAGTGATTCAATACTTGACAGGTTACAGATCATTTTACAGACCAAGGGATGCTTTTATCGTCAAGTACAAACCAATCGCAGTCATAGGGAAAAAGCCGAATAGATAGGCAATGAGTAGTCCAATGAGTGATTGATAATTTGGCTTCAAACTGGGAACAAAGTAGCGTCCTTTGTACGAAACCAATGCAAATTCCCGTTCGTTCATATATCTAATTTGTCGCTCGATAACGCAGTTGTTGTATTCCAATGATGCTGCGTAGATGAGTGTGAAAGAGGCCATTAAGAAAACGACACTTCCGACAGACAGATAAATCATAATTCTTCGACTTAGTATTACTACAAAGGGACCAGAGAAGAGACCGACAAGCCCCAATGTGAGCAAAACGAAGGCTGACTGAACACATGCATTTGCACGGTGGGCTCGTGCTACGCAAAATTCCCACAATTCCACGGCAACTTCAATGTGTTCTCCAATTAATTTGCGCACTTCTGATATATGCTCTTCCTGCAGCGATGCCGAGCGTTGATTGGCTGTGTTTGACCAAAATCCGGTTCCTGCAGTGATCTGCAGACAGACAAGTGAAGGACAGAAATAGGCCGATTGGCATGGGGAGACCACTGAATGACAACAACCACTAAGTGCCAGATGTTTAGGTATACAACTACATTAACGGTTCATCGCAGTTGATCCTAAGTCAGACTAACAATAATCCAGAAAAGTATAAGACAGCTATTTCGACCAATCGGAATTTGTCAGTGTTGCGCATCCCGCGGACACATCAGGAACCGAATCGTTGACTATTAATGGCTTGCGCCACTAGCCAGCAGCTTACGCCATTACGCCCCAGGGGTGGGCTGCAGACTGTCATGACTTAGAAGCTAACTGCGACAGCGTGACTCATACTCCAGTGGCAAACCGCATGACACTAGTGAACAATTCTGTGGCTCTGGGTATCTCATTGAGACACATTTGTGATGAATTTTGGTCATCAGAAAGCGTTTTGCTGTGCAGAGTTGACATATATCATGAATGCAATTCGCCTGGTTGCAAATACCTTCAACACCATCATCATCATCATACACGTTAGCTGGGGGTGGGGAACACCTCAGCTACTGTGCCGCAATACACAGAGAAAAGGAGAAAAAAAGGATGCAACTGGTGCAAACCGGCTGAGCTACCGGTAACAGATAAGCATCGTTCTGGTAAGCTACCAGCCGGCTACTGTGCAATAAAAAATACTATGCGAAATTATGTAAAGCTAAATAATGAGATCGTGGTTGGAGAATGGGGTGGGACAAGGAAACTCACAGCACGAACGCCACTGTGGTCGGCTCCTAGCCATATCAGCAAGTGTGTCCAACCAAACGTGTTCATCGTCTTTCAGGCCACAACCAGGGAGCTGAGACGCTCCAACCGAGGCCAGCTCAGAAGTGAAAACCTTCATTCCTCTCGACCAAGTCATCGCTTGGCCACCCCACCTTCAACAATGAGCGAAAATTGATTCCCAAATCGTAAGTACGCAATCCTAAGGCCGCAAGACTACGATGAGAATCGTCCAAAATGTATCCCACCAGGAAGTCCGGTAATAAACAGGCTATGCCATGTGGCTTGCGAGCAGCTGGAACGAAAACATTACAATTAATAAATCTAAAAAAATCAGATCCCATTAGCAATTTGAATAAAGCCGTAAGAAGACGAACACTGGCATCATCATCATCACACACGTCAGACAGAGATGGGAAACACCTCAGCTACTGTGTCGCAATACATAAAGGAAAGGAAAAATAAATGCAACAGTTGCATGCCAGTGGAGTTACCAGCAACGGACAGGCATCGTTCCGGTAAGCTACCAGCCGGCTACTAGGCAAAAAGTAGAAGCATTATGTTTTACGCTACGAAATGAGATCGTAGGTGGAGGTAGAGGCTAAAAGGGATGGAAAAGGACAAAGAAATTCACAGCAGGAACGCCACTGAGGTCGGCTCCTTGCCATGTCAGCAAGTGTATCCAGCCAAACGTGTTCACCGTCTTTTGGACCCCAACCAGGGAGCCGTGACGCTCCAACCCAGGCCAGCTCCGAAGCGAGGGCCTTCATTCCTCTCGACCAAGTCATCGCTTGGCCACCCCTCCTCTTCTTCCATCCACATCTCCGGTGAGCAAACAACGCACGTCGTGAAAGCCGGTGGGCTGGCATGCGCAACACGTGGCCAAGCCATCAGAGCCTGGTGCGTGAAATAACGGTGCTGAGCGGTTCAGTTCCTTCTCCTGTGCCGTAACAAGGCGTCGAACACGCTCGTTACTCACGCGGTGTTCCTACCAGATGTGAGCCAAACTGCGAAGGCACCGATGGTCGAATGTAACTAGCCTCTTCATGTCCGCCGATCTTAGGGGCCAGGTTTCGCAACCGTAAAGTAGGGTCGAACGTACCGCTGCATTGTACACTCTACCCTTCAGGGCGTCGGCCGGTAGCAGAGTGGTATGCGCGTCTGGTTTGCAAACATAAGGTCACCGGTTCGAATCCGTGTAGGGGCGGGCGTCCTCGCGGTATATTCAGCCCACGCGCGACTGGTGGTGGTCGTGTGGCAGCGAAGCGCCGTTACGGCGTGCAGCTGACGACTTATTACGACCCTTCAGGGCGAGAGTAATGTCGCGCCGCAGCCACAGGTGGCGAAGACTAGCAAAAGCACTCCGAGCTTTTGCTATACGGTTCGTGATCTCGTTTTCGATCCCAAGGGCGCTGATACAACTTCCCAGGTAGTTGAATTTCCGAACGACTTCTAGCTGATCACCAACAAGGGTCAGTGTAGGAGGCGCTCCCTGCGAATCTTGGAGGAAAGCTTTGCAATTCTATGGTGCAAAGCAAAGCCCGAAGTGATGGACAGCCAGTGCTAATCTGTCCAGCGCGGCTTGGCACGTCTGGGAGCTGTCACAGATGAGGGCAATGTCGTCTGCATACTCCAAATCAAGAAGTCGTTCTCCTGAGAGTAGCTCCACACCTAAGTCATATCCAGTAAATGCAATCTCCGTGACTTCGTCAATAGCGAAGTTGAAGAGGAAAGGTGACAGCGGGCATCCTTGTCTCACACCGCTGGAGATATTGAAGGGCGGCGACAGCTTGCCGGACGCCCTCACTCTGCCCGTGCTATCCGTGTATAATGCTTGGATAATATTTACATATTTCTCGGGCACACCTTTCCTGAGTAGTGTTGCGGGCACGTCAAATATTCCCGCAAAAACACGCCAGAAACCCCGGCAGGATGGCTGTGGAAACCGAGGTCCAATTCCTCCCCACAACGCAGCAGAGCTCAGCCACTCCGAGACGCGCCCCAACTGCGCACCTTTCGACAATGCTCATTTGCAAACTACCACCTCTGCGTGGTGACTGTTTTCCCTAACTTAATAACCCATAGCACTGGCTGTGATCGCCCTTTGTCGGTCGTAAAAGAGCCTACAGAGGACCACTTGCCTTTTCTTTCTCTTCGCCTCAGTTGGGAGTCGGTCGGGTCACGTGATTGCGTGTGAGTCGTTAGCTGGCCAGCCTTCGCGTCTAAGTCATTAGCGCGCGTCTATCGTACCCCCCCTCTCGTGTGTGTCCGTTTCCGAGGACTCAGCGTCTATCCGAACAAGTGCGGCTAGGATCGTTCACACGCTCGCTCAATTTTCCGTCTCACCGGCTAAGCTAGCGTCATCAGGTCAGCGCAACTCCGTTCGAGTGGCCAGCGTTACAAGTCGTCATCGTAGGCGTGCTCCAACCGTGCGAGCGACAATCTTGTCACGCAATTATCTCAGAGGCGGCGTTCCCTCAATTATAACAGTAGACAATTCCAAAGGGCACATGGATCAACCGAATCGAAGGCGCCGCTGATGTCGAGGAACACGACTACGGAGGGCCGCCAATAAATGTGACGGTGCTCCAACTGACGCAAGGTGAAGATGTGGTCGATGCAGCCACGACCCCGACGAAACCCGGCTTGCTCCTCACGAATCTGGCTTTCACGAGCGCCAGTCAGTCGGTGAAGAATTATGGAGACGATGGAGATCAGACTGATTTCTCTATGGTTGCCGCATTCCGAACGCGAGCCTCCTTTGAAGATGGGAATAATAACGGAGCAGCTCCAGTCGGTTGGGACAGTCTCCTGCTCCCACAGTTTCACTAGTACTTCATGTAAAGCATCAACAAGAGCAGAGCTTCCGAATTTGAAGACGGTTGGAGGAAGACCATCTCGTTCCGCGGCTTAGTTCAACTTCAACAGTCCGATCTCACGTTCGACTTCTGAGCGAGAGAGTGGATCCAAAGAGACAGCCCACGGAGCAGGGCGATCACAGGCCAGCGAAGAATCGAACAATTCTAGCCGATTAAAGTGTTTTTCAAAATGCTCAGCCCAACGCTCCAAACGTTTTGACAAATTATGGATAGGCTGTCCACTCTCGTCACGTATAGTTTCACTAACACCAGGTCTCCTGCTGTCCGATTCCCGTATCAGACGGAATAACTTGCAATGCTTATCAAGGGCAGCGGCCACTTCCTTTTCTGACGCACGATGAGACAACCAAGATACGTGGTCTCTCTTCAGGTTAGCAAGGAGTCTTGCCCGGAGCTCTTTGCGAGTTTCATTGTGTTCTCTTCCAGCCGGGATATGCCGGCGAACGTCGATAAGTTCCAGAGACCGCGAAGAGACCCAATATCCATGTTGGCTATAAGACATACTACATGAGCATTTGCCTGATGCTAGTAAGGCCTAGCGAACATGTGACCAGTGACCATCAATTGTCTCCAGTGAGCGAGTACTCAACTCGCATGTCAGCGTACTTCGATACGCATTCAGAATAGCTGGCTTTGTCAGTTGGCTGGTGTCAATGCGCTCACAGCGTTGTCGTGGGCGTCCGCCAAAATGCATCCGCATGCCAGTACATACAAGTGCATGATCGGTGTCCACACATGTGCTCCAAATCGAGCGACAGTTCTGGATGCAGCCTCTCCAGCGGTAACTTATCGCAATGTGATCGATTTGCGTCCAAGGCTGGTTCGAGGCACAGCACCCTCCGGCGGGTGCTGTGTCGGAAATTAGTGCTCGCAAGAAATAAGTGGGCATCTTCACACAAATGAAGTAACCGCTCACCGTTATCATTACGGGAGCCTACACCATGTTGACCGCCAGGATGCAGCACATCTGTGGATAATTTTCCAACTGGCGCGTTCAGATCCCCAGCCAGTGTCTGTGTTTCTTCTGTGGCGAAGGAACTTGGACAGTTGGCGGTAGAAGTCGTTCTTTACCGAATCATCGCTACAATTTGTGGGCGCGTAGGCAGCGATGACAAATAGACATCGTTAGTCCCGCGCGACTTCGAAGTTTTGAACGAGCCAGCCAATCGGACCGTACAAAACCGGCTACTGATTGGAATCCAGTCTACAAGAGCAACTTCAGTCCGGGGACTCAGGGCAATACCAACACCGGCTTGGCCGGTGCTCGAAGCTGCATCGTCACCAGATAGGCGTAATGAGAAAATACTGCTTGCGTCACCGGAAGGGGATAGCAGGGTGAGCACAAAGCTCAAGTCTCGCAGGCGGGTCTCTGATAAGCAGCAGATATCGATCGAGAATCTCCAATGTTCGCGCAAGTGCAGCCTATTGACCGATCTGTAGTAATGTGCGTACACTGAGGCATGCCAATCTAAGGAGGATCGAGGGCTCCAAATGGAAGCCGATGAACTGGAATGGACCGCATTGGCTGGACATGGGTTTGTCAACAGGAGAAGAGTGACGCTCCGCGTTAGCATGTGAGTTAAAATTAGAAGATAAATGCCTAGCAAAGCATGTTGGGGGAGGGCCTAGGATCGAGAGGTTGAAAACTCGGGGGGAATTAAGTGAAGTTGGAACGAGATGATAAGGGAGAAAAAGCATGAGAGGGGGAATAAGAAGACGGGAAGGCTTGAGCAATAGCATCCAAACCCTTATCCACCCTGCTCGATGCAGCCGATAGGGCACAGTTGATTATCCTCTGCGGTGGCCAGAGCATAAAGAAATTGTTTGACGAATGATTCAGTATTGCGTGGGCAGGATACTGTCAGATTGCCCAGGCCTAGACAGGAGAACAATTAGGGTTCTCAAACAAAGCCTATGGTTCAAAGACCTTACTGTAAAGCAGCGGGTTTGGCGTTGGGCTACAAGGAGTCGGTATAAGGAGGCAACTCATTCCAACCCCCAAGCTGGAGGACCAGGAGGCTGAGTTTCTCTGGCCTTTAACCGTTGACCAATTTGGTATGAGTGACTCTGAAGGTGCAAAAGCACCACCAAGCATAGCTCAATGGATCGCTGAGGCACACAAACTATCGCACCACGGTAAGATCCAGCCTCATTGCGAACACTGGCAGATGTCAACATTTCGTATTGTCTCTTCATTGCCAACACAATAATTTTAAAATATATAAAACGACAGTTAGAGTGAGACCGGAACAAGTTAGAACAGGGTAGGGGGCAGGCCTGACACCCCTACGTGTAGGGTAGCCGTAGGCTTACAAACAACTGTTTCTGCACACAGAGTGCGGGTTTGATACGGCTGATCGCGACTGCCTCTGCGAAACGTAGGAAAAGGGGGGTTAACATGTCTTAACACGATTGT